AGAGTTTTCAGGGCTCACCCGCACCCCACCGAAACTACAGCAGACAAAGGCGCAAAAGAACAGAATAGACAGGAGATTTAGTTTCCAATCATTATTAGATGTTTGGCAAGAAATTAAAACACTGTAGGTCTACAGATCTTTTAATGACTAATTAAAAAACTGTGCAGACCGACTGACCTGCATAATTCAGTCTTGTGTGGGTTTTTTAAAGTATTATAAAATTACCCAGTGCTATATTTATGCATGTTTTAATAAAAAAATCTATGCTTATTCTGGTTGTTGGGTTATGTTTTCAGCATTTATAACCAGGTGTATATTAAACACTCTTGAAAGATACTGGACAGTGTATCAGCAAGGCATATTACACTTAGAATTAAGTGTCATTTTTTAGAATTAAGTGTTATTAAACATTGTGATGCCTTAACAAGGCAGCTTGGGCTGCAAGGACCTTTTCCAGACAACAGCTACTGCATTGACTTCAGACAGGTGGATGTTGAGTGCAAAACCAATTGACTTTCACAGAAATTGCAAATCCTGTACTTTTTCTGCAGAAACGGATGAAAACTGGACAGACTATCAGTATCAATCTAACAGTTAGATTGACACTCAACACTTTGTTATAAATCACTACAGTATCTCGGAAATCACTCAGAAGCTTTTAGTATTGAGGGACACTTTACACAAAGGGTTGTGGGAGGGGGGAACAAGCCGCCCCAGCCATGTAGCTGGATCAATACGTTACTAGCAAACAAGTGTGCCAGAAGTACTGAATGTCTTTCTATAGCCCACAAACTTGTGTTCTAACACGTTTCTCTTGTCAGAGATGGGGAAAGCATATTCCAGGAACGATCACGGTTGTGCTGCTTTGTCTTTAAGATCAGGCTAGTTTTACACTACTTTTAAATTTTACAGCGCCTCGCAAAAGTATTTTGAGCAACAATGAAGAAACGTAAAGAAATCTGGTTTCTAAAGGTCTCCTTACGGGGTGCAGAGTGAATCACTCCACTCAGCTTCTTGGACAGCAATCAGAGCGAGTGAATCAGCAATCGTGATGCAGCCTGGTCCGGACTGCCGGAACTATCGTCGACACCGGGACTGGACTGTCATAAGAATTAATACTGCAGCGTCGTTTGCATGTCAATAAAGTAAGAATTTAAACGGGTCAGGAGATAGCAACACACCTCGCCCCCACCCAAAAAAAAAACGCCATTGTTCTGGAAACTAGAGAAGAACCTGAATTGAATGAATTAATTCAAACTTGCTCATTCACCCTGGTTACCAGCCAGTTTTTTTATTGACTTGCTGAATAAATAAATGTAAAGATACAGAGGAACAGTACAACAGTACACAACCAAACCTGTCACAAAAAAACGGGGCGACGGGATGAACTTTTATCTACAGTAACTATAAAAGCGTTCAAAACGTTTTATCTCAAGTTGCTGTTCTTACAACTTTTGGGGGACTCTCAATCTCATGTACTGTTCGATTTCGTTTCTTTGAAAATTAAGGCAGTTGCATAGAAAATATTTTCTAGAAAATATAGAAAATACGTTCACATTTGCAGTTAAGCAACTCACCACATAAAATAACTTGGGAAGTATTGTTTGCAAGGCTAGGCGCTTTTCGTGAAAACGAAAACAAAATGGAGCGTTTTCACAGTGTGGAATAAAACCTGCATTTTCTCCTTACCTTAATTTCCTGCACGCAACGCAAAAAAAGTCACCGAGCGCTGGCTGTGATCATCTACCGAGGAGACAGTCGTACTCGAATGTTTTCTTCTACTGCGGAAAGTCCCACGCCCACGCCCACTCTGTGGACACTTCCCGGTTCTCCAAGTCTTGCTGCGACACACGGGACCCTGGGTTCCGGGAAAACCACGCCCCCCCCCCGGGAACGCCTCTTCTGATTAGTCGGAGGCCATGACGTCATCGCGCTGCACTTCAACTACTTTTACCGCTGTCAGCTGGTTAAGCCTGCAGCTGTCAAAGCAGGGTCTGCCCTCTGTGCGACCCTGGTGTGATTGTCTGCGTGTCTGACTGCCCTGCGATGGACTGGCGTCCCACCCAGGGTGTATCCTGCCTTGTACCTGTTGCGTGCTGCATGCTGCATGCTGCATGCTGCATGCTGCATGCTGCATGCTGGGATAGGCATGCTGGGCACTGTGTTGGAAGATGAAAAGGGGTGGCTACCAGCAAGTCCTCTCCTGTACCAGTCTGATATAGTGCCATGTGAATTGGTACACTTGCCCAGAGGGGTAAACAGCCTTTCCTTTATCTCTCCTCCACTCTTTCCTGCTCCCCACTCTGGCTACAGCGCTGTGGTGGGCCAATGGTCCCTCTTGCTGACAGTCTGCCAAACAGGCTCACAGCTGCAACACAAACTCATCACTATCTGTGTCTTCATTAAAACTATTACTATTGTATTAAATATGATAATGTAATATTTAGAATATTGTATTTTATAATTGTAATATTATCAATATGTAATATGGGTTCATCAAAAAAGTCTAGAGGGATGATGGCGTTAAAAGCAGAACTGTAGTCAATAAAGAGGATCTGGGCATTTTGCTGGGTGCTTCTACGTGCTGAAAGACATCAGGGAACCACAGGCAGACAGTATCATCCGCTGACCCGTCTGCTCCATATGCAAACAGCCATGGGCCCATATGTGCATGTTAGACAGGAGATTGGCTACAAGTCGCTCAAAAACCTTTATAACAACAGACATCAAGCCTCCTGGTCTGCAGTAATTGAGGGAGCTCACAGTGGAGGTCTTAGATCCCGCCATTACAGTAGCAGTGCTGTAGCTCAGCCTACTTAAGAGATAGCCTGGAAATACCTGTAAAGATGAGAGCTCGGTGTGGCTCTTGACACATGAAGAAAAACGGTCTTGCATCGTGCTCCTGCACGATGAAGGGGGGCTGGACGAGGTGCCGTCTGCTGCGTGTTGGGCTTTTGTGCGGCGAACCCGCAGTAGGATTCATTCAGCCTGTCTGGGGGAAAGCAAGCAGCAGTTGGAGCAGTTTGTGTCCTTCAGTGAACAGGCAGAAGGCAGGACACTTGCTGTGGGACACCAGTCCACCACACACACACACGAGCCAATCAACCCACCAGCATGTCTTTGGACTGGGGGGGGGGACGGGAGCACCCGGAGGGAGCCCACACAAACCAGGGGAGAACATGCAAACTCCACCCAGACAGCACTGCAGGAACTGAACCCAGGGCCCCAGCGCTGTACCACCACCGTTCCTCCGTCAACAAACCTCGCTGGAATGAAAATGGCCTGACGCGCGTGTCCAATGAGCTAAGCAAGACCTCCCTTTTTTCAAATCCACCCTTTCCGCAAAGAATCCCATTTCCATTAAAAAAACAACAACATTTAGCTAGAACACGTGACATCTGTGCATGGGTCTGAATACCGAAAGTCAGATGAAGCCGTTTCCACAACTTTACAAGTCATAGAAGCCAGAATACCGAAGTCAGTCTGTAAGCACTTGGCTGAGGTTCATCAACGTGTTCATAGGCTCTAACCCTGTCGGTGCCGTCTGTGGCTCTGATGACAGAACTCTGTGAATCTCCCAAACTTGATAAGATCTCCGAAAACCCATCATCTGTCTCATACAGCCACCTGCCTACCCGCTAATCAGACAGACTGCATGCCAACTTAAATAAGTGCCTAAGAAGTTTAAAAACAAATGAGCTAAATGTTTACTAAAAGTTAACTTCGTTCCGCAGGTGAGGTTCTCGTGCTTGAAATTGTGTTTCATGCAAATATGCTCAACTTTTCAGACACAAATCAAACCCAGCAGTACAATCACACAAATATTTGTTTTCACTGAACAGAAGAAAAACCACAAAAACAAAATCAGATGTTCCCCCCCACCACCACCCAGTGATGAACCAATCGTCTTAAAACATGTCTGTGAAAACATATTAAACATTTCGGAAATTCTGCTTCAAATCTCTTTGTAAACAAATCAGAACATTGCACATGATGACACTACACACTTCATCCTTGCAGTGCGATCGGGTCGAATTGCACGGTACTGGGCAGTTCAATAGCGAATTGATGGCAACAGGGCTTGCTGGCAGAGAACCAGGAGATGACTCAGAGTACTGGAAAACGAAACTCACCGCGTTGCTTTCAGTTTCCAGTCTCCTTATGTAGGGAAATAGGAGGTGCGTAGTTCAGAGGCAGGGTGTTTATTTAAGCCTGGCATCCGTTTCTAAACAGTTCCCAGGATTGTTTTCTTCATCATCAGAGGAACACCTTTCCACTCAAAGAACATCAGGGACCATGAGCTCAGGTACGTTACTCGGAATACAGTATCGGGTGAGAGGAATGCGTTGGGGACTAATTAATCAAATCCGTCATTGTTCAAGAAGGGAAAAAAGTACCTACAGAGCCGAAAACAGGTGTTTTTGTTACAGCGGTTTAAAGGGACTCAATCCAGTATCACCTCAAACTCCTGATTTCTATAGTACGATGTTTTGATAACATTTTACGATCATGAAACACTGGGTACACTACTGTATGTGGTCATTTATTTTCAAATCTTTAGGAGAAGATCAGTTTAAAGGTTTGGCTGTACACGGAGGTTTTAAATAATGCTCATCGCAATTCTGTGTGTTTGTTAAAAGTACATTTTAATCACAAAAACGATCTTAAAAGCACGAATTTAGTATCCCGTGGGCCAACAGCTCCTCTGGACAGCAGATCAAGTGGTGAAGTAAGAAATTACTTTACTGATTTAATCAAGGTGGGGGGGGGGACGTTTTGTCCAAACTGGAATTTAACCATTGGATCTATAATGACCAAGTAGTCAGGATCTCAGTTTAACTCCTACTGCACAGTGTCTTCGGTTACCCTACTGGGAAGACGACTTGGAAACTGTGGTTCACAAGGGAAGAGTGCCAGTTCTCTTTATCGTATTGTAACGTTTAGCCTGGACTCCTTTCTACTTACTTACCTGTGGAAGGATCTCTTTAATAATTAATAAGATTCCACTCTCCTCCATCACATCCCAGATAAATAAGAATAATCAAACTGCAGCATAAGAATAAGAACGCTCGCCTCCTGTGAAAGGGGAACTCCCAATTTCTCAAACCGGTTATCAAAATCTCGGTGCCAAAATAAAATCATGGACGGTATAGAAAAATTTGACAAACTCTGAATTAAGCACAAAATCGTGAACTTCGTGGTATGCTGCAAGTCGCAAAACCCTGGTCTCACCCCATGCGAGAGCGCGAGTTTCTGAGAACTGCCATGTGCTCTTCCTGCTCACTAGTCACCATTATGAGTCATGCAACGTGATGGGTGGGCAAATAAGTACAAGTTCTGCAGCAGGCATTTCCAGCGTGATCTGTACGTAGAGCTAACAAGTAGTATTTGTCTGCAAAACCGTCTCGACTGGAGAGCAACACTTCTACAGGATTAAGAGATGTATTCACAAGTCTGCTTGTTTACGGTGTTATAGGGCAGCTTTTGTTGCCCTGTTCTGAATCAGACCATGGTGCTGTGCATACTTCAAAATTCTGTTTCGTGCTGCAAATCGGAGGTTTTACAAGTTTACTGTGAACATTTTAGTTGCATTGTGGTTTGAAATGCGCTCATCAGTGCCGATTCTCTCTCACCCCAAACCGTAAGAGCATTGCCGTCTCCTTTTTACACCTCTTCCCCTGTTCTGACCCCCCCTCAGACTGGAGCCCCTCTCTCTGGATGGAGACCTTCCAGGACCTGGTGGACCAGGAGCTGGACTACAATGACAGCTGGAGTTTCCAGTTCAACTACGGCCTCCAGCAGCAGCTCAGCAAGGAGGAGAGGCGGCGGGGCTGGAAAGTCTACTGCCCCTGCGCCCACGGCCAGTGAGTACCGGGGCCTGATGGGAAGCTTTGGTCACCCTAGTCAAGTGATGAGTTCCTGGGTAGAAACAAGGAAGTGTTCACAATCGACTCATCACCACTTTGTCTGAGTCTTCGCTTGCGGCTTCCTGAAGTGCAGCTTTTTTCTCCCCCCTCCAATACAAAGAGAAAATACAACAAACAGGGGTATAATACACATACAAATATCACAACAGGACAGAAAAAAGGCAACAGGAAAAAAAATAAGTTAATATACCAAAAGATTTTTGTAGACCATCTCACCCAGCTTATTTTGTTTCATATATTTGAGTAAAGCTTAAATGAGTTAGAAAATTCTTTAAAGCACACAGGAGTGTTTTTTTTAACTACATACTAAAGCTAAGCAGGTGTGAGCCTGGTCAGTACCTGGATGGGAGACTCCTGGGAAAGCTGAGGCTGGTGCTGGAAGAGGTGTTAGTGTGGCCAGTAGGGGGCGCTCACCCTGTGGTCTATGTGGGTCCTAATGCCCCAGTATAGTGACAGGGACACTACACTGTAAACAGGCGCCATCCTTCTGATGAGACGTAAAACCGAGGTCCTGACTCTCTGTGGTCATTAAAAGTCCCAGGGTGTTTCTTGAAAAGAGTAGGGGTGTTACCCTGGTACTTTGGCCAAATTTCCCCCTGGCCTTTCCCAGTCATGGCCTCCTAATAATCCCCCTCTCTGAACTGGCTTCATCACTCTGCTCTCCTCCCCACTGAGAGCTGGTGTGTGGGGAGAGGACTGGAGCATCATCCAGGTGGGGCTGCACACTGGTGGGGGTGGAGGGGATCCCCATGACCTGTAAAGAGCTCTGAGTGGAGTGTCCAGAAAAGAGCTCTAGAAGTGTGAGGTGTTTTTTATTATTATTATATAAAACTTTGCCAACATGAGAATGACATTTACCATTATCGAACTTCGTTTGGATTCTGAACCCCCAAGAACAATACCCTTAGAAGTGCGATGTACTCGAACCGACCCGGGCCGACCCCCTCTTCCTCTTCCTCAGGTTCGAGTGCTCCGAGTGCTCCCGCACCTGGCCGTCCGCGCGGGTGGTGCTCCTCTTCCACTACCGGCTGCGGGGGGGCGGGGACCACCGCGGGACGGTCGTCATGCGCCCCTTCGGCCAGGCCTGCAACCGCTGGCACGGCAACTACATGCTGCCGGGCTTCTCCGCCGGCGAGGTGGAGGAGACGCTCCTGCAGCTCCTGGGCAAGATCAAGAAGAACTGCTACGGGGACGACAGCGACGACGAGGACGAGGACGGCGGCTCGGCCGGCTCCGACGCGGTCCGGACCAGGCCTCACCAGAAGTCGCTGTGCGAGGCCTGCAGTCAGGGCATCTGCTGCCTGGACGATGACTAGCGCCACCTGGTGCTCGGAGGAGGAATTACAGCCTGAACACGGCGAAGGAGTTCACGTAGCTGGTGGCTTGAAGGCAGGAGGGCCGATTGCAAAAGACTGATCATTTACCACCGTCACAAAAAGTTACAGAGCGATATAGACGGCAGTATAGAACACAAGTGGGACCAAGGAGGACATGAAAGCACATCGGCTTATTAAACAGCTTCACGCAGCTCTCTTCTCTCCACAAGACAACCCATCCATCCATTTTCCCCAACAGCTTCTTCCCATTCAGAGCATCAGGCAGGAGCTGGAGCCTATCCCAGTATGCAA